CCACCGTTGATTTGTTAAGGTAGGTGTGTCATCTTTACTTTGAGACATTTATTCAACGTAAATCAGGGATATTTGTACCCACCATTGATTTGTTAAGGTAGGCGTGTCATCTTTACTTTGAGGCATTTATTCTCCGTACATCAGGGGTATTTGTACCCACCGTTGATTTGTTAAGGTAGGCGTGTCATCTTTACTTTGAGACATTTATTCAACGTAAATCAGGTGTACTTGTACCCACCGTTGATTTGTTAAGGTAGGTGTGTCGTCTTTATTTTGAGGCATTTATTCTACGTACATCATAGGTACTTGTACCCACCGTTGATTTGTTAAGGTAGGTGTGTCATCTTTACTTTGAGACATTTATTCTACGTACATCAGGTGTAATTGTACCCACCGTCGATTTGTTAAGGTAGGTGTGTCATCTTTATTTTGAGGCTTTTATTCTACGTAAATCAGGGGTACTTGTACACACCGTTGATTTGTTAAGGTAGGCGTGTCATCTTTACTTTGAGGCATTTATTTTACATAAAGCAAGAGTACTTTATGACCTGCAAGTTGACAAGGTATGAATGTTTCCTGTATTTCGAAGACCTTGGTTACGTAAATAGAGTTTAAAAGAATGAACTATTTCTTTTTAAACATCGACAAAACCTTTTTAAAGTTGATCTATAATGAGCTTAAAAATCATGGATTAAAAACAAAATAAGTTGGAATGTCTTAAGACCATCTTGTTTAACGAGGGTTAGGTACTTTTCGTCTGCAATTAATAATTTCTAACAAATTTATAGACATGTTTGAAACAATTAAAAGTTTTTCTGTTTTTGCTTATTTTTTGGTGGTGAGATTAGATGTTTATGTACATGTGTGATAACATTTACTGTTCGAAAAGTATTTTGTCACTAGAACCTTATTTCGTTGTTTTCAAAATGATTTGATATAAATCGTTTTTACAAACCTTGATCTAATAATTTCTTAACATTGAAAATTGAGATATATCCTTTAACTTAAGATGTTAAAATAACGGGTTTCTCTTAGTAACGAAAACAATATATCACCTATTTGTTTCTCCTGCAAGTATGTAATTTAACCTGCCTCTAAATTTTTGGAAGTAGGTATGTTTACATTACAACGTATAAACGAGATTCTCCTGTATTTGCTTACATGATTATGTACGTTAAAAGTTCGTCAACCTCACTCATTAAGACTCGACTAATATGTTTAATAGGCTGTTTATCTAGCAAGAACTTTTATACTGTCATCCAACTATTTTCGTGGTAGTCTGAAATTTCTAGTGTTTTAGTGGGCGCGTATCTATCTGCCCAGACTTTTGTTTAAACTATTTTTGTGATGAAATGAGATTCAATTCCCGCCAAGTTAAAGAGCTATTATCAATTTTGAAATGATGAAACTAAAACTCTAGCTGCTTTTATATTTATTGCTTAAAATATATATATATATATATATTATGTTACCTGTTGCTGTTACTATGTATATTAGAACTGTAAATAATTTATGACGTTTCTATTTGGTAAGCTAGAAATATGTGACAAAATAGATTTGGAGGTTTTTGAGCCAAAAGATTGGGTCATACACAGTATCTTCTATGATAGTTTTAACAAACACTTCCATGCCCACAGTCTCTTCTATGATAGTTTTAACAAACACTTCCATGTCCACAGTCTCTTCTATGATAGTTTTAACAAACACTTTCATGCCCACAGTATCTTCTATGATAGTTTTAACAAACATTTACATGCCCTTGAGTCTAGTAAAGATACAGTAGACTAACAGACGACACATGCTCACCATATGTATCCTTCTGTAGAAAACCTGGTAGCACATAAAATCAAGTTTGCAATAAGGGCAAAGCACAAGAGTTTAATTATACAAATAATTAACTTAAAACTTCACCGACTAATCAACGCTTGCTAAATAATCTTCAAGCAGTTTTACAGTAAATAATAGCTTCACTTGTTCACTAATTTGGTGCAAATCTAATCATTCCAAGCTTAATTAAGTATTAAGGAAATAAAATGTTTAGTAGTTCGATACCTGTTTAATGAGTAGATAGAAACTTCAAGCAGATTAATTAATTCATTCATTAGCAACTTGTTTCCAGACACTTGTTCATCATTTCAGAATTAAACTGAAATTACTTCAATGTCAAATGGAGATTTGTTCGGTATTAAGATGTATTAATTTAAGGTTAAAAAATTAGTTCAGTGTTAAAACAGAATTACGCCCTGTTTTTGTAAAACAGAAATTATCTGATCATTGATAAACCAAGATTTGAATGCAAGTTAGTTCAGAGTTAAACAGAAATAATCTCAGTGCTGAACTGAAATTGGTTCACTGTTAAAATGTCTATAATTCAGTATTACACAGAAATTAACTGAGTTCTAATTCGAAATTAGCTCAGTATTAAAATGGATTTGTATTTAATCGAGAATAGATCATTGTTAAACTGCAGTGTTTTATAGACGAAACTGAATACCTCGTTCGCTGCTTGATTGTTTATTTAACTTCTTGATCTTGGTGATGTATAATTTGAAACCTCTGAGTAAGTTGTACGCACTGGTATGTTTGGTAATAGTGTTTACACTTTTGAAGTAGTTATTTTAAATGTTATCTTATACACATTTTTCTGTTTAAGCTCTACTTTATATAATTTGAATTTTAGTCCACGTGCTATACGGTAAAAAAAATATAACTTAAATTATTGTCAGATTATGACGTACTAACTAAAACTTCTGGTGAACACATCAAATATGGTTTTTACTTTAATGGAAAAAGATAACATCCTTAACTTCGTATGATAATACTTTACTTTTGTTTCAACGATAAGGTTAACAAAATTTCTTATTATTACTGTACAAGAAGAAGAAAACATTTATTAAAAAACAATAATTATTCTTCAAGTCATTAACTTGTTTATTTTCGATTTTATAAAAGAACGATAAAGTTAATTATGAGGTACTAAAAACTGTGAAGATATATTCCTTTCTCTCGTGCTTTATCTGCGGTTTTCCCATAGATTTAATCAACAATTTTTTTCGCGTTCCTTAGGCAAGAAATTCTGGATTTCGACAACATATTGCCTGCCAACCCTAAAAACTACGATAACCTGCAACCTCCAAGAGAAAAAGGTAACTTTTATTCTGAGTTCGGCTGTCTACTGAGATTTTTTGAGTTTTATAGGTGACCATGTAAAAAAAAAAAATCTAATATAAAAAGCAACAAAATTTATGTTCTTTAGAACACAAGTCCAGAGTTTGAATACCTAAAACACACATTCAAGTGAAAAACAACATAACATTTGTGGGTTAACAAAACATAATACAAATGTATTGGTTTAAGCACAATCTGCGTATTGAATTTTATACATCCTGCATACACGTGTATTTAAATATTAAATAATAATAATAGTTTAATAAGCGCAATCTTGAATTGTAAGCTGAGAATCTTTTGTGTTGATAGAAAAAACCCCACAAAACTTGGATGAGTGTATACATCGCTAAAGCAATCAGTTGTGGGTGTAGGAAACACAATTTGTGTTGATATGAGATATTTCTATTTTTGACATTATTGGCAAAGCTATTAAGGCTATCTGCAGCCATCCCTAATTTTCACCAGAGAAAAGGCAGCCAGTCATTTGCACCTACTATCACCAACCACAATAAGGAACTGAGTGTCACTTTTATAAAACACCCACGGTTTAAAGTGCGGGGAGTATTTTGTAGTTTCGTACGGATTCGAACCTATCTCGCCAACTCTAAAATCCAAAGCTCTGCCACAGGGCCAACCCCGTCTCTATTATGAAATAACGCGCGGTTTACGTTAATTTACACACAACTTTTTTTTTCTTTGACTGTAGAAACAACAGATCATGATAACATGTTGCTAGTTGCTGCAACAGCCTGCAAACTCTCAGTGAAAAGGTTACGAAGTTGGAGTTCAAAGATAAAGCATTAGCAATCTTCATTCGCATGTTTCCAAATATCTATATTTCTATTATATTAAAGATAATTCTATATGAAAAGCAAGGCCTGGCATGGTGGTTAGGGCATTCCACTCGCAATCTATGGGTTGCGGGTTCGAATTCCCGTCCCACCAAACATGCTTGTTCTTTCAGCCGTTGGGGCGTTATAATGGTACTATCAATCCCACTATTTGTTGGTAAAAGAGAAGCCCAAGAGTTGGCGGTGGGTGGTGATGATTAACTGCCTTACCGCTAGTCTTTCACTGCCAAATTAAGGATGGATAGCGCAGATAGCCCTCGTGTAGCTTTGCGCGAAATAAAAAAAACAATCCAACAAATGAAAAACAAGCCAATAAACAGTTGAAACAAGAAGATAAACTGAATAAAGCGCATGTTCATAGCTTCCATTCGTTACTTAATTTCTTCTCATATTTTTCGATTTGCCTGTCACTTTATCATGGAAACACACATCTGTTTCTGAAGGTACATTAAGCTCGTTGAACAATAGTATGTTAACTGCAGTTTTGAAGTGAAATTTAAGCATTCAAATACCAAACGTAAGGATTATTTCAAGATTCCTATAGTACGACTATTCCGTACGAATTTCAGAATAAAAGCGGTTATGCAAAAAATGCACTAAAGTTTTTTGTGTTCCACATGTGAAATGTTTCTGACAATATCCTTGATAGCAGGTTCTCGATCGAAGTAGTGTTGTTCTCTAAATGACAAGTATCTCATAACACTGTATCCTGATTAGTCTATGTTTACTACTTGTATAGTAATAATGTTCTAGAAAGTTTAAGGATCTCACAAACTTCCGAATTTCTAACGATTTTAATTTCTCATCGCCAGATAATTATATACAACTAAAGAAAACTCAGAGGGCAAAACTCAACTCATCATAAACTTCTATAATATCAATAAATTTTTTGTGTATTACTAAGTGTTTACGTGTAAAAATAAAATTATTTACACGAAAAGAAAATAATTCATTCAATTGGGGGGTGGGAATTACCCAAAGTCGAGGCTAACAGCAGTCAACAACGTGTGTCGTTCTTTATTTAGTTTATTGGCCGAGCGTGGCCTAGTGAATAAGGTGACGGGCTGCATACAGAATGTTCAGCGTTCTTGACGTGGAATGCACTGTGGTCGCGTTATAAAAGTGGCAGTTAATCACCTTATTCGGCTAGGAGACCATGATAAAGCTTTCGTGGCAGCGGGTGCTGTTGTCTGACTGCCTTTCCTCTATCTCCCAGTTGGACAACGGTAAATCTACGGGCTTTCAACGCTAAAATCCGCTCAATAATTTTTTTTTTGCAGCACTGATAATCTTTTCTTTTAAATAGGGTTTGACTTTTTTTTAAATGTTAATTTAGTTTTGGTTAAAAGTTCTATGAAGATGTTCTAGAAAACTATTCGATTACAGGCTTCATTTTATTAGCGTTACGAGATGAAACTACATCATAGATTAAAACAGAAATTGAACATTTATGTTTTACTCTAAACCAACCTGCTCTCATTATCATTTCTGAGCAACAAGGAACTTCCCTTTGCCATTAGACACATGTTTTACGAGGTTGGCTGAAAAGTAGTTAGGTTTATTCTGATGTAAATATAGAAAGACATTAAACACAAATAGCTTCGAAGAACAAGAAAACGTTACTCAGTAAGGCTTATCAACAAAATAAACTGAACCAATGTCTACTGATGTAAGCTTACTTAACATTTTAATTACTCACTGTGTTTGACTTTGGCGGGTGAATGGCAGTGAATTTATTCAAGTTTTTTATTAATATTTTGAAAAGTTTGTTTGTTTGTTTGCTATAAACGCTGTGCCAATATCAGGGATCGAGCCAAGAATTTTAACGTTATAAGTGCTCGAGCGCATTTCGAAATGAAACACGTGCGCTTGATTACATCCTAAAACTCAAAGCGAAAAAAGATTAAATAAAAGTAAAAACTTATCAGAACTTTTTTTTAATTAATGAAAAAATAAAAGTCCCAGTTTAGTAAAATTCGATTATATAAATATGGTTATTTTTTGCAATGAGATGTACAGTTTTGCTATGAATGAAGACTTCGCGTAAGACGTTGCAGTAAATTTTCTGAAAAAGAGAATGCTATAATCGAACGGAATTCTAACTCACATTTTCTCCATTCAGGTGAATTAGTCTCCAGTAGCTCAGAGGTAAACTTGTGGGCTCACAACGCTCAAAACCTGGGTTCGATGCCTGCGGTGGTCGGAATACACTTAGCCCATTGTGTAGCTTTGTGCTTAACAACAAAACAAAAAGATGAGCTGATTGGAATTGCAAAGCACAATCTTAACTATAAGAGTAGAAAATAACAGACTTTTTAATGTTTTTTTTTCGCTTGCATGTTGGCGTAGATGAATAGTAGATAGCTTATTCTGTTCGAATTCCGTTTGGTTTCAGTTTTTGTATGGTAGAAACGATACAACACTTAAATTGAAAATAGTAGTACGCCTTTCAAGTTATGCTGAAGTAAGTTAAACGGGTTAGATTTGCACTTAAGATGTCATCTGCTATAAAACAACAACGGACATTTGTTCAGTTATATTATGGAAACAAGCTTAAAGACCTTTTGATGTTTCACATTGATGTTTGTTTGTAGTTTTGTTGAATTTCGCACAAAACTACTCGAGGGTTATCTGCGGTAGTCGTCTCTAATTTTGAATAATTTGGAATAGTGAGCTACTCAGCTACTCAACACCACCCACCGCTAACTCGTAGGCCACGCTAATCGAATAGTAGGATTTGATCGTCACTCTTATAACGCACCCACGGCCCCAAAGTAACGAGATTCGAATCACGGAACTTTGTATCCAGAGTTCGACACACTTATCAATGTTTGTTTTGAATTTCGCGCAAAGCTACACGAGGGCTATCTGCGCTAGCCGTCCCTAATTTAGCAGTGTAAGACTAGAGGGAAGGCAGCTAGTCATCACCACCCACCGCCAACTCTTGGGCTACTCTTTTACCAACGAATAGTGGGATTGACCGTCACATTATAACGCCCCCACGGCTGAAAGGGCGAGCATGTTTGGTGTGACGGGGATTCGAATCCGCGACCGCAGATTGCGAGTCGAGTACCCTAACCACCTGGCCATACCGGGCCGACACACTTATCAATAGGCCGTGCTTTGCACGTTTCGTTTGGAAACTCCTACTTAATTTTTGTTTATACTGTGCGAGAATTCAATTCATCCTATTATTAGTTATTACTGCTCTTAATTAGGCCCGAAACGATATACTATCCATAATATTGTTTCATCTTAGTTTTGGTTTGGGGACACAATAAGGGCTTCGAAAAGAAACTTAGTTGAACCTAAAAGTTAGAAACCTGTCTCCAGACAATTTTTTTTTACTCAGTAGGAACCACTGGATACATTTTTTTTTAAATTAAAGCTAACATTAAGAGCGTAACCGTTAACTTAATGGAATAAACTTTGCATATTTTGTCGTACACTTGCGAGAGATAAAAATTACGAGTACATTTTCATTTTAAATGTTACTTTTAACATACCGGTGTACGGTCATCATTAAAAAGTTATAAAGCTTTAAAACAAACAAACACAAAAATATTAAAAGGACGAAGTTTATTGTACAGCTCTTTTTTTTATATAAAAACACTCTCATATTTTTCTCAAGAACGTGGGTTCATTTTTGTAATAATGTCAACCAAATTTGTCATTAAACGGTCAATTAGATAAGCCAAATCTAATATAAAATCTCAATTTCACAAGCTATATTTCATATCGGGTTGTAATGACACCATACACAAAAACCGTAAAAAAATGTCTATTTCCATTTTTCACACTCAAAATCTGCCTTTTAAATTAATAATGAATACATTCTTACATAAACAGAATCTTAAGCATGCTTTCAAATCCATATATAAAAGGTTGCCCGTCTGTTTGTTTGGTGTCACAAGTTGTTCTGAGGAAGTAGCTGAAAAACTTGATGGAGGAGCTCAAATGACCCTGCCCCACAAACATGGTTACCAATTTAACACCGCGGAGGCCAGTAGCAAAAAACTGGAAACAGAAGTAAAAAAAAAAGTGGCATTTAATTTCGAGCGTAGCATGGGTAAAGTTGCAAGAGAATCGTGTATTACGGCTAAAAATAGTGGAAGGTGACACCTCCC